TACAAACATAGATCAAACATAGATACACAGAAGACACACAGGAATCTAGCCTGTACTAAGAATCAGTACACTGACACCAGGCCCCTAAAACTGACCCTGATAGTTTCTGTGTTACAATGGCCATATCAAGAACCCTAAACCACTGACAAATGAGAAGAATCTGAGAAACCTCTTAGTAAGAAAAAGTACTGTGTGACTGCTCATGGTACGGAGAACTGATGAGAATTTGTGAGATCTCTGCAGTGAATTCTGCAATGCACCATGACTGGTCTGAGGAAGAGTGATAGCAATCAACCCCAATGCACACTGAGAGCAGCCTTGACTACTTACAGACTTATGAAGGCTTTAAGCAACACTGGAAGGGAATCCAGAGCAGCCAGAATAGGGAAAACCTATGATCCGAAGGAGCCTCCAAATTCGAACAAAGAAACTGCAGAACGAGCGGCGGCCGTATCGGCTGCCAGCACGTTCTGTGCATTCGTGCCGCCATTTTGGAGTATATCTTGGTATACACTAGGATGGCGGTATCAGAATATGTGGGCGCCGCCATCTTGGTGTGTACAAAGATATACTCCAAAATGGCAGTGTGCATGCTCAGAACATGCTGGCGGCCGATCTGGCCGCAGCTCCTTCTGCGAATAACATCACCCATGACGTGGCATCATGTGACGTTATGTACCAGCCTCCAAGATGGCGGCGGGCATGCGCAAATATAGCCGCTGCGCGTTCTGATAACGAAATTTCGTATACTCGAATATCGTTTTAGTATATTTGGGCATATAAAAAAATTTGTTATTTCGGATTCGGACGAACCGCCGAATCAACTGAATTTTCCTTGATTTGCAGGTTCGTCCGATTGCGAATGCACATTTCTAATGATGATACCAAGCCTTCTGAATGGCTGTGGCAATGAGTAAGAACACATAGCATAACAAATGGGAGGCAATGTAATGAAGAATAGGACAGACCTTTGAATGTCACAGCAACATTTTGGTGCCAACCACATATATCCAACATGATTTAGATTGAATCTTAAACCTGAATGAGGAATTGAACTCTGGAAGCTATGTCCTCAAAGGGCAGGCAGAGGGAAAATGACATTTTTTTTACCAGTTGTGGACACTGGAAAACCTTCATACATCTAAAAAAAGTTAATGGAAGTACACAGAAAGTGTGCGGTAAGTCCTGTCCTTCTGCCCCTCTTTCGCTCTCCCCCTCACACTTTCCAGCAATTCCAGACTGTCAAAATGAATGTAATGTAATAGCGGCTGCTGTCAAAAACCACCAAACAGACACAGTGTTTATAAACATTAATCAGACAGAGATAGCGAGATACAAAGTAACATCATTACTTTTGTATCTACTCTGTTTTTTTATCTGCAGATCAAAGGTTTGATTTTCAATTTGCATTTGATATTAAAGTGAAAGTAAATGAAAAATCCAAATTTTGGGTTGTCATCAGAACAGGAAATGGGAAATCTTACAATGATGAAACTAGTTCTGGTGACCATGCTGACCACTAGGGGTTTCCCTCACTTTTTAGAGGGATTTCCTCTCACTTCCTGTTGTGAAGTGAAGTGAAATCCCAACCAGATGGCAAAAATAAAACACCTAATAGGGATTATAAACCTCCCTCCCTTTTAAAATAAAATGTTTTCCCTTTTTAACCCCTTGTTAAAGGAGAACTCTTTGGGAGAGTAAAATGTACACTTCCCAATAGTTTGAGACAGCTTGTGACACTGCAGCTGTCACACGTCAGCTCTGTAGATCAAAAACTGAGAGATCACATACCACTGATCACTCAGTTGACTGTCTCCTCCCTGCAGAGCGTAGTAACTGCCCCCCCCCCCCTCTCCTATCTCTGTTCCCCCTGTGCTCATTAGAGGGACAGCAAGGGACAGGGGGGGGGGGAGGCCAC